TTTTTTTTTCATTTTTTACAGATATTCAACTGCAGCTAAATAAAATATATTTTGAATGGATCTGATAAATGCGTGTTTTTTGTTGATGCGTCCTTCTTATAACAGCTGACCGTCTTTCGCTAACCGTGTCGCTCACCTCTACTGACAGAGATGGCAATAGGGGGGTAAAATTCTATCTCCTCTTTTCGTATGTCAAAGTTTGATGATGTTGAGCGTTTTTCCAAAATCTCAAAAGAGCTGAATAACGTATGCTTACTCGCTAGGTTTTGGCGGGGAAAACGAATTTTGAGTCGTTGACATTCATGATTTTCTATTCTCTTGCTTCCAGGCGATGTTTTCCTGGCCGCTTTTCTTTGGCAGAACAACTTCTAAGAAATTTGTACACCCCCTAAATATTTTCGAAAAGTATTTTTCTCCATAAAAACTTTGGAAATAGGCATATGCCTTCGACGACAAGAAAGTGCTTCGGTTTTGAATGCCAGCTCCCTATTATTTTCGCAAATTTCGCTACTTTTTAAACCTAGTACACTTGAGCCCGCGATGTTGACCGCATACCTTTCACGTCATTCAGCTCTGTCGGGTAGGAGTACTTTCGGGGGCAGCCAAAGGAGCGTAAGAATGAGTCGTCTGTTATCAATCATTGGTTGTTTGTGTAATGGTGGACGTTTTAAGTCCTGTTGAAAGTTGGACTTCTCTAGCATTTCTTTGCGAGAATTGATAGACAAGAAAATAACTATTTGTCTCTGTGACATAAGTAGGAAAGTAGGATGGGTACTTGCCATCGACCCAGTGACATACATCGTGGTTCAACAGGAAGAAACAGAGACCTTAATTCCAAGAAGCTGACTTTTGTTATGGAACATGCAATCAAGTTGTATTTGAGGGAAATGGAGGTCTCCGTTCGCCAAACTTTCTTGAATTGGAAAGCACGCAGGAGTATTCACAAAATGAAATTATAAAACGAAAAGGTGATCTGATTGATTGGCTGACAAAGAATCGAATCCCAGTAACTGAGAGTTCGGAAGACAGTGGCGTATTGTGGGTAATGGGAGTTCTTCTGGTGGAACCTCCGTATGATCTTGAAAGCTGTAGATGTAGCAATGAAATCGTGTTAGATCGCATTCAGAGGCTTATATGAGTACGAAAAGATTGTGATTGACTAAAGATGCTCTTCAGAGATATTTGGAACCAAATATTGCTCCTATCGATGACTTGAAATCAGGAACTTTGCCGCTTGTGTTGCAGTAACGATGAGAATCTGCTTGTAAACTTAAGCAAACTAAATTACAACTGACATGGTTAACTCTGCCATTTTGTGATAAAAACTTTGACACTTTTGAGAAACTCCATCTGAAATGGCCATCACCCGTTAAAACCAATTTCCTGAAGTGAAATTGTTTCATTACCAATTGTAAACTACTGTAAATGATCTTAAAAAACTTCAGGGGGCATATTAACCCGTTACACATAAACATCAACAGGCATATTTTCCATACTGTCCCCTATACATTACTGATAGAGAGATTTTTTCAACAATTAAGAGCTTCCTTAGTTGGCAATCATTCCTTTTAATCTCACAGCCTATGTATGTTTTGTCTGGCGAAAAATTAGATGCTGACCACTCTTAGGGTTTGAAGGGAACCATTTTTTCAGAGTGGGTGCACATTGGGAGACCAAAAATAAGAACTCTTTCTCTTTGCAACTTCCACCAATCTTTAATGAGTGACATATATAGAGTATATCTCTTTGGTTGTTTTAACTAAGATATTTAAATTATAATCCAATAGAAGCATTCAAATGTCTCTCAGTGACCGGGAAACACCTTACGCAAATAAGATCATCGAAATCTTCATCTAAAAGTTAAAATTAAATGCCCTGAGGGATATGGGATTTCTTTGTAGATGAACCAATCGGTCAGATATTTATCTTTAAAACTGAGTTTATTGCTACCATTTCCAAATTCCAATGAATGAAAAATTGGGCCAAAAGCCTGAATTTACTAAAACAAATCTTAGAATTTTATAATAGATGAGTATCACGATAGGGAAAGAGTTTCTTTCGTGGGAAGTAAATGTTCAGAATATTTCATCAAAACTTTCACTCAACGCTGATTTTTGTCTTCCCAGGAGCCCCACTGGAATATTCCATGTTTTTTAGCTCAGCAGTCAAACATTCACGCGTTCGTTTATTGATTTACTGCGAAGGATCGTGCATATATACGTTTCATAACCGCAGTTCATACATATGTTTCATATGTTTGTTGTTGTTTGATTTATCATCTACGGGTTTATGTCGAATTAATTTGATGGCCTGCTCCCAGTTGGCTTGTTAGCTCAATTGGTAGAGCGCTGCACTAGTATCGCAGAGGTCAGTGGTTCGAATCCCGTACAGGCCTGAAATTTTTTTCAGGTCTGATTTTCACTATTGCTCAAATAGTGCTTTACTGCGAAGGATCGTGCATATATACGTTTCATAACCGCAGTTCATACATATGTTTCATATGTTTGTTGTTGTTTGATTTATCATCTACGGGTTTATGTCGAATTAATTTGATGGCCTGCTCCCAGTTGGCTTGTTAGCTCAATTGGTAGAGCGCTGCACTAGTATCGCAGAGGTCAGTGGTTCGAATCCCGTACAGGCCTGAAATTTTTTTCAGGTCTGATTTTCACTATTGCTCAAATAGTGCTTTACTGCGAAGGATCGTGCATATATACGTTTCATAACCGCAGTTCATACATATGTTTCATATGTTTGTTGTTGTTTGATTTATCATCTACGGGTTTATGTCGAATTAATTTGATGGCCTGCTCCCAGTTGGCTTGTTAGCTCAATTGGTAGAGCGCTGCACTAGTATCGCAGAGGTCAGTGGTTCGAATCCCGTACAGGCCTGAAATTTTTTTCAGGTCTGATTTTCACTATTGCTCAAATAGTGCTTTACTGCGAAGGATCGTGCACATATACGTTTCATAACCGCAGTTCATACATATGTTTCATATGTTTGTTGTTGTTTGATTTATCATCTACGGGTTTATGTCGAATTAATTTGATGGCCTGCTCCCAGTTGGCTTGTTAGCTCAATTGGTAGAGCGCTGCACTAGTATCGCAGAGGTCAGTGGTTCGAATCCCGTACAGGCCTGAAATTTTTTTCAGGTCTGATTTTCACTATTGCTCAAATAGTGCTTTACTGCGAAGGATCGTGCATATATACGTTTCATAACCGCAGTTCATACATATGTTACTACATTCTGGACCCCATTNAACTTTCTTGAATTGGAAAGCACGCAGGAGTATTCACAAAATGAAATTATAAAACGAAAAGGTGATCTGATTGATTGGCTGACAAAGAATCGAATCCCAGTAACTGAGAGTTCGGAAGACAGTGGCGTATTGTGGGTAATGGGAGTTCTTCTGGTGGAACCTCCGTATGTTCTTGAAAGCTGTAGATGTAGCAATGAAATCGTGTTAGATCGCATTCAGAGGCTTATATGAGTAAGAAAAGATTGGGATTGACTAAAGATGCTCTTCAGAGATATTTGGAACCAAACATTGCTTCTATCGATGACTTGAAATCAGGAACTTTGCCGCTTGTGTTGCAGTAACGATGAGAGTCTGCTTGTAAGCTTAAGCAAACTAAGTTACAACTGACATGGTTAACTCTGCCATTTTGTGATAAAAACTTTGACACTTTTGAGAAACTCCATCTGAAATAGCCATCACCCAAAACCAATTTCCTGAAGTGAAATTGTTTCATTACCAATTGTAAACTACTGTAAATGATCTTAAAAGCCTTCAGGGGGCATATTAACCCGTTACACATAGACATCAAAAGGAATATTTTCCATACTGTCCCCTATACATTACTAATAGAGAGATTTTTTTCAACAATTAAGAGCTACCTTAGTTGGCAATCATTCCCTTTAATCTCACAGCCTATGTATGTTTTGTCTGGCGAAAAATTAGATGCTGACCACTCTTAGGGTTTGAAGGGAACCATTTTTTCAGAGTGGGTGCACATTGGGAGACCAAAAATAAAAAACTCTTTCTCTTTGCAACTTCCACCAAACTTTAATGAGTAACATTTATAGAGTATATCTCTTTGGTTGTTTTAACTAAGATATTTAAATTATAATCCAATAGAAGCATTCAAATGTCCCAGCTTAGTGACCGGGAAACACCTTACGCAAATAAGATCATCGAGATCTTCCGTCTAGAAGCTAAAATTACATGTTTTGAGGGATATGGAATTTTTTTATAGATGCGCCAATCGGTCAGATATTTATCTTTAAAATTGAGTTTATTGCTACCATTTCCAAATTCCAATGGATGAAAAATTGGGCCAAAAGCCTGTATTTACTAAAACAAGTCTTAGAATTTTATAATAGATGAGTATCACAATAGGGAAAGAGTTTCTTTCGTGGGAAGTAAATGTTCAGAATATTTCATCAAAACTTCCACTCAACGCTGATTTTTGTCTCCCCAAGAGCCCCACCGGAATATTCCATGTTTTTTAGCTCAGCAGTCAAACATTCACGCGTTCGTTTATTCATTTCTATTTCTAGCGCGCGCTTAAAAGATGAAAGGTAGATAGAGCGCTGGACTGTTGTGCGGGAGGTCGAGGGTTCGAGCCCCGGTCGGACCAACACTCAGGGTCTTAAAAATAATTGAGAAGAATTTGCTACCTTTCTATAACATCAAGAAATGGTTAGATATTCTAGTCTTCTCGGATAGGGACTAATAAATGGAGGTCCCGTCTCCTGCAGGGTTGGGGTAGGAGACGTTAATTTCCCACACACGAGATTACTGTGTGATGGATGTCCTCCCCTGGGACATGGTTCGGTCCACGAAGCGACGAAGCTATGTGTGCA